CGCTCGATTACGCTGCAACAACGCCAAACCGACCGTTGAATCATCAACGCGCTGCTATTTTTGGTCGATGGTCAGCAAACGCGGCACCCATCGTGCCAATAGCTTTTTCATCTCCAAAACATCGTGCAAAATGTATCCCGCCCGTTCTTTTGAGATGCCCACGGCCTCAGTTAACTCGCGCAACTTCACTTTACGATCACTCAAAACGATTCGATGCACTTGCTTTACGATTTCCGCATTCGTAGCCTCTTTTGGCCTTCCAGAGCAAGGTGCGTCTTCGGTGCTTGTACGACCCATTTTAAATTCACTAAACCACCACCATAAACTGTTGTTCTCGAAGGAGCAGATGTGGGATAACATTTCTGCAACCATTTCAATGATTGTTCAGAAGTTTTTCCCATCAAAAAACAATGTTTGATCAAGATGCGATATTCCTGTTTTTCCATTTTTTTTTACGAAGGCGAAAGTAACGCCACTTAAATGATTGTAGCTTGTAAACGAATGAACGAAATGTCATGAAACTTCATACATAAATTAGTGACAGATGAACCTCTCGAAATGAATCATGTTCATTTTCTACTGGCGCCATCTATTGAAAAATCCCGGGACCTTTCAGCCCATGTAGTACATTATGTGACAGTACCTATTTCATTCATGAAAATAACGCACAATGTTTACTATTGTATATTTTGTTCTATTTCTCTACTAAAAAATTTTGACATTTTTTTTATATTTATCGCAAAAATCTACATATAATATTCTATTACTGTCAAGAAAAAAAAAAGTAACGATTTGCATATTTTGAGTAACAATAACGGTAACGAGTTATTTTTTAGGGAAAAGAACGGTAACGGTAACGAATTATTTTTATGAGGTAACGTTGCTAACCCTGATTTCCAAAATTCTTAAAGTTTTTGAGATATTTTACCGCCTCAGGACTTTTACTCACCCTGTATAATGCTTTAATAAACACGTCAGTGTAATAAATACTTGAATTGAATGTATTATAAATATAGTGTCATAGTTCGTCATAAATACAACTTTATGCAGCACACCATGAAAAAATGACACAATTTGGATGCTTAGGATCTTGTTAAAATCGACCTTGAACTCGAAATTTGGTCATTTTTTTCACATTAATCGGGCTGTATTTCTTAAGGCGTATAGCGTAGGATTAAATGAATTATTGCATTGTGTTCAGCGATTAAAAAAACATACAGTATCACATTTGAAATCCAGATTAAGAATTATTTTTGCATCAAATTAAAGAAATTATTTGCATTAAAAAAAAAATCAAAACTTTGATTTAAAAATCGTCTACTTCTCTAATCGTCTAATCGTCTCTAAATTTTAATATTTTTTGATAAAAATTTAGGGATATTCTTTTGATATGAAATAGGAAGCTTTTGAGCTAAATGATCGATTAAAAAAAAATTTTCTTTTTCCTTGGTAGTCTAACGTATATGTACAATAGAGGAAGGTACTTCCAAGATTAATAATTTTTCCATTCTTTTCTAATCTATTCGCACTTCTGCATCCATGAATGTTCTATATAGCTTTGATAATCATGTCCAATCAGAGGAAACTGGGTCAGGTAATGAAGTTTGCCACTCTCTCCCTGTAAGGCTTTTTATTACATAAATACATTATTACATAAATGTACTGTTAGATTGTAATAATTGTATGCTAATTTAGAGAACGTCATTTCAATATTTGATAATTTTATGAAAACACAAAAGTCATTGAAAATCAGGAAGATCACTTTTATTTCTTGATTCTTTCTTTGTTTATAACTCCATATTAGATTTTCTCTTCTGTATGGTGAGCTCACCGTTCGCGTGCGCGTAGTTAAATCTTGTATTTTAAGTACTTATTATAAGATTATATTAAATGCTGTTGTTGAATCGCTAAATTTGGATATAATTATATATATTTATAATCTTAAATGATGTTTCATAGTGTGCTGTATAAAGTTGTATTTATGAATTATGACACTATATTTATAACACATTCAATTCAAGTATTTATTACACTGACGTGTTTATTAAAGCATTATACAGGGTGAGTAAAAGTCCTGGGGCGGTGAAATATCTCGAAAACTAAGAATTTTCGAAAGAAATGTTTCCTACAGTTATAAGATTTTAAATGATCTATTCACTGATGTAGTCAATCTGACCGTTCGTAAACGCTGTTGCGAAAGCCGTCGCAAACGCGTTGCTACCTTTGTTGTAATCGCCGCCGCATCGCCGCGAACTGTCACGAACCTCATCGCGAACGTCGCTGTGTACGATGTTCCATTTTTATTAGTTCAGTTTAATTTTTGATGTGACAGATGTATGTAACAAAAATTGATGCTTTGCGTTCCATAACACATTTAAATATTCTATATTTTTCAATTAACAAGAAAATTTTTTCCTTCGACCACTCCACTGCACTCATGCTGAGAATGCAAACTAAGAAGTAACGAATCAAACGATAGTATACAAAGAACTGCACGAAAGTATACTGCGATAATTTATTTGATAAAAAATTGAGTCCTTGTGGCCTTGGCAGGAGAGCCCGATGTTCGCGGCGACGAATAGTTCCCAATGGTGTTCTGATACAAGTCTGTACGTGATTTAAGAAAGTCCCTTTCCTTGCTTCTCACACTCTTCACAAAAACTAGTCTCACACGATTTTTACTTCCGCGTGAATGATCCCACTTTTGACACCATGTAGCGGAAAGGGGAATAAATAATCTTATAGCGAAAAGCAGTATATCTTTGCAATAAGAACTCTATTGCAAACGACTGCCTCACGTAGTACTTCATTATAACTTGCGCCAAGCATAATATCGGATACCAGATATTTTCCGGAATGTTCGATGCATCCCTACAATATAATATATACTTGGTACCGCCAAACTTTCGAAAAGAAGTACTTTGGCGTCGCTAAGCTCCAGGGCCCGATTATGCCAATGCGTAAATTGTTCCATTTTCCAGAGCAAGACAACTCGACCACGTCCGGTGTATTTATGGAATGTACTAGATGTGCAGAAATGGTTGAGACGACACTGCAGTGACTATTATCAGTTATACTATGAACTGTTTCTGCATGTAAGTGTTTTTTACTTTGTCATAAATATGTTTTCCAAATTTTGCTTTTAATCCTGCTTCTCCATAGATTTGCCGCGTTATTAAGGGAAGTATCAGACTACTGATTGATAATTATGGTTGCCCGATTCTATTTCAGCCAATTACGATGAACTTGCTACATCGTGATTGGTTGAAGTGGAACCGGGCAACCGTTAATCGTTATCGTTAATCCATCGTCTGGGCACCTATTATAGAAATTTTGCGATTCCAATCAGAAATGCGAAATTCCGACTGGCGAGTTTCCGATCGCGATTCCGTTCATGTTTTTGCTATTATGCTTTTCAAGCAGAATGGCCTTTCCATCTACAGGGTGGGCCATCTATTGGTACGTTTTTGAATTTCGTCGTATGGCAACACCGAACGAGCTACAGACCCGAAATTTTGACAGTTTATTAGTCATACCGTCCGCGGCACGAAACAACATGTTTTCTCTTGAAGAGCGTTTTGAAATTTTAAAAACTTATTTTCAAAGTCAGTGCTGTGTCGCCGAAACTGTACGAATTTTGAAAAGAAATATGGGTCGTGATAGAGCACCCACCGAAGGAGCTATACGCAAATTGGTGAGGAAAGTTCGTGAGAAAGGGATGTTAGTGGATGACATTATATTACGACTGTTTTGAGTGAAATTGGCGCCGAGGTAGTCCAAAATGTCATTAATAATTGGGGTGACCGAATGGCATACTGTAAGACCAGTAGAGGGAGCCACATGAACGAAATCGTTTTTCATTCTTGACGCGGATACTTTTAGCTTCACAACAAAAAAAAAATTAATAAAAAATATCAATGTATGCTCATTTGATCGCATTTTTAAAAACGTACCAATAGATGGCCCACCCTGTATTTCTCTAGATCTGGAATGAACGAGAGGAACGGGCAAAATGGATTTTTATGATCAATCAATGTAAGTCTATAAGAAATATCGCTAGATAGTCCTATACTTTAATCGTCCTAGTTAAAATGTCTGATTTATACTATGAAAATGTGACATAGCTGCGAATAGTGAGTTGAAAAGTGGAACTTTATTGAATATTTTTGATAGCCTAATTAGCAAACTAGAAATAAGCAAGATCCAAACGAATTAATAGACGTATCGGTACACAACCTTGGAATTATTCCGTTTATCTCTAGATGAATTATTAGACAGTCGGATTATTTTCAAATCGATCGGAAAGTTTCCAACACTTCTCGAGCTGTCGAAATGTCGATTCCGATCGAAATGAATTAATAATAATAATCAATCAGCGATAATGTGCCAATCGTTTCTTCCACTATACATATTCTTTAAAAAAAGATGGCCAAATATGGCATAGCATGTTTTTATTGGCTACTGCAGCAAATAAAAAATGTTATGCCATATTTTACCATTTCAATTGTTGCAACAGCAATTTTTTTTCCAATATAAAAACAGCATGCTTTTGGTAATTATATGAAATTTCTTCTCGTGGTACTATTATTTTAGAAAAATTTATTTGAAGTAAAATAATAAATTATAATGACGATGTAACGAGTATGTAACTACATACATATTACAAAATTGCGTTTAAAATACAATTACTGTTGTTAACGCTGGCTGGTGAAATATTTTACTTTATTTTGCTGACGAAAATATATGTTAAAGATATATCCACAAAAAGAAATTTATCCAATCATATTTTATGTGTGACTTTATAAGAGAAATGCGATAATTTTTTTATGCATACGTTTATGCGGCGTGCAAGTTGTATGGATATACCTTAACACGTGTTTAGCTATCATGCCGATACAAACGAACATTTTATTGAGTTTAATTATTTTTGCTGCATCATTATTGATCGTTATTATTTATTTCCTCTGTTCCTCTCTTTTCGCTTACGATCTACAGAAATAGGAAAACTCATTCCACTCGTAAACATAATAGCAAAAACACATGAATGGAATCGCAGTCAGAATGTCGCGTTTCCGAGGTAATTAGATTTAGCTACAGCACCTCAAAACTCAATAAAATTAAACTTATTCGACGCATTTCATATGAAATAAACGAATCTGGCAAAAAAGTGTCGCTTTGCCCTGCGAATCAAGATATTAATTATTATGCTGATTCTACAATAGTCGGTAGTCGGAAATCTTAAGTCTTAATCAGTTTCAACCTAAATAGGTAACTATAATTTTTCGCATTTACTACTCCTATAATTTTCTCTGCAATCACAAATATTGACAACAAATTATGTTTATCGCTTTAAATAGGAAATATACTTTGTTATTGTTAATACTGTTAGTAAACTTCCATTAAATATGCTCCTAGATAGTCAAATCCTATCGCAAACAAATTTTCTAAAATCTTGCTACAAGTTTTGAAGACAAATTTAATGTACATTTTGTTGTACTCAAAGCTGTCAGCAAATTGATGACAAATAAGAAACATGAGATCAAATGTCAACAAAAACCAAGCAAGATTTACAAACAATAATTTAACAGTAAGTTCACGACAGTGAATAAGTTCACAGTTCAAAAGCTGAGCAAACCTTACTAATCTAACTTTATGGCAAATTGTCGTCAAAAATTAATCAAAATCTGCCATTGTCATACGCGATCCCGCCACGAGATAGATTCGCTTCTCATAAAAAGAAAACGCCCAGGAGTCCTATAAGAAGATATATGCAAATTAAGTTGGAATCCTCTAGAGATTCCCAAACTCTTTCGAATGGGGCCTGCAAACGATTTTTTTTACTATTTTATAACTTTATCATGTATTTTAAAGCGTGATGTTAATCAATAATTATTGATTTTCTCACAATCAACCTTCAGATTCGGAATCGCGTTCCAATAATTTATTTTGTCGCATTGTGTAATTGATTAATATCACATTCTAAAATACACAACAATATTTCAGCAATAAAACTGAATTATATTTGGTTAATTAGAAATATGTTAAAAAGGATTACGAACTATAAGAATAAAAATAAAATATAAATAATAAGCAAAATCAGTTATCTTCATTTGTTTTACATCTTTCTATTATTATATTAACAGATTGAGTTTTTCATCGTTTTTACTGATTTTTTTTTAACTTCATATATTTTTATCAAACTATTGTAATTGCAACACGATAGCGAGTAATCTCCGTACGCACAATGACATTGCTAAAAATTGATCTTTTTGAATTAGACAACAGGATGCGTTTTCATATCAAAGCGATAACCATGGGATGTAATTATGCCATTATTTTTTACATCAAAGTTTGTATTCCGTCACATTTAATTATCTTTTAATTATCATTAGCTGTTGATTTTTTAAATATGTTTATATAAATATTTTACTTAAAAATATTACATGTCTAATTGAGAATGACTGATCGAAGTCGAAATGCCGTTTGTTTTAATTTCTTGTAATATGTTTTAGCGCTTTTTAATATCTTGCTTATTATTTATATTTTATTTTTATTCTTATGATTTGTAGCTCTTCTTAACATATTTCTAATTAATTTATTATTTGATTTATCATTTACATCATTTATTTTAATTCACGTGGTCAAAATTATGCTTTTACAAATATAAACATTATATATGTATCATTATACAGGCAAAATGATCTCCCACATTTTAATCTTTAATAAAAACGCCATTGTAAATGCTATTTAGATTTTATTTTTATTAACTGAAAATTTATGCTATGCCATTTGTTTTTATTGAGTTTTAAAAATTACAGAGTCCAAGTGGCGATCATTTTTTTCGATACACGGCTAGGAGATCGTTCAACTGCTTCTCTTACAGCTGCAACATTTTCAGGTGTCCAAACACTTCTGTGTCTACCAGTTGATTTTCTTTTTAAAGCTGAACCTGTAGCTCTAAAATTTGAAACCCACAACAGTATTGTTTTGCGATCTGGAACTGGAGCATGTCTACCAAGCGCGAAGTGAGTACGAAAAGTTCTTTGCGTCGTAATCATAGATTCGTTACTTTTCATAAATGTTTTGATAACAAAGGCACGATGCTCGCCCGTCAAATTCATGACGACAACTGAAATGGCAAGGCGCGAGCTACCAACCGACTACGCTAAGCTCCCCCTTTCTTCAGTGGTTCGGGGACAGTGGCGGTGCAAAATGTGGGAGATCATTTTACCGGACCCTGTTTTTTATATATCATTCTGTTGGCCACAGGTTGTATTTGGGTTGTATTTGGTGCCATTCTTCGTAGTCAGCATATTTGACTACAGATCTGGTGTAGATCTGTGATCTTATTGCTATTATCAATCTGCTTTGATATTGGCTCCAATTTGAGAATATATTTTTCAGATATGGTTTACATTGCATGTCCTTGTGGACACAGGCTCTGGTTTTGACACTTCATTCTATTGAAATTTTAAGTCAATTTGGTGACTGGGGATCAACAATTTGGGAAAAAAATGTTTGCTGGATAGTTATTAGTTGTGCGAGTCGTTTAGCTCAATTAATGGGAAGGAATAAAGTCAAATTTGATTAATCTTAAAAAAATCGGTAGTCTTAGTCGTACAAGTTGGCTATTGATTAATTCAGTATATATCCACACAAAGAACTACGCCCAGTTTTATAGGAGAATTTGGGTCTCGGATGAACAACTTTGAGACATGCCTAAAATTTTAAGATATCAAAAGAGAATAAAAAATTCCATTAGCTCAACTTTATAGGAGAGGTTTCTTGAGTGTTAGAACTATCCAAAGTTCGCTATTACCACTAGTCTTCCTGGGAAAAAATATTCTATACATTTAATATATTCTATACATTTAATATATAATATATATATATATATATACAAGGTGCGTCCCAAAATTTTCCAAACTTTTTCAATAGGGATAGGTCGGGTGGCGCCATCCGTGTGTTCGATTGCGCGTTTGAAAGGTACATCCCTAGCTGACTTCCAGTAAAAATTTCATGACATTTGGTTCAGTGGAAACAAAGTTATGGCGTCTCAAGTGTCAGTATGTTGTATACATCGGTACGAGAATGAACTTCGAACAAAGAGCCAATATTAAGTTTTGTTTTAAACTTGGTAAAACATTTACCGAAACCCATAATTTGATGAAACAAGTTTATGGTGATAATTGTGTAGCCCGTGCCAGTGTTTATGAGTGGTATACGCGATTCAAGAACGGTCGTGAGGACATAAATGACGACGCACATACAGGTCGCCCAAAATCGACAATTAACGAAAATTCCATCGAAGTTTTTATGATTCCAAGGGTATTGTGCACAAAGAATTCGTTCCAGCAGGCCAAACAGTTAATGCTGTATTCTATGTAAGCGTTTTGAAGCGTTTGGTGCACCGCATTCGTCGTATTCGGCCAGAATATCGCGAAGGAGGAAGTTGGCGCTTGTTACACGATAATGCGCCATCTCACCGTTCGACACTTGTCACT